TGATGCTGGCTGTTACGGATTTTTCATTCAAGGGAAGTCTGGTCATTGAACACTAATGCTTTACATTGGGACAGTTGCTCTCTGTTCTTGTGGGTTTTTTTTTTTTTAAAGGTAAAAATATTAAGCTGAAGAACTGGTTACTGCGAGGTGATTACGATGGCGGGACAACAATCCACAGTTTGAAAAGACTAGAAGGGAAAGGGAAATAATGTATTATTTTAGAATTGTAAAAAGCAAAGTCATGTATACTAACGTTGCTGTGTTATAGGAGAGTAAATTTGTAGCTGTTATAGTAGAAGAAAACATTACCTCAGTAGAAACGTTTCAAGAACTGGAAAATTTGCGGCAGCCTAGTATCTCAGCAAAAACTTCTAGTAAGTTATTTAGCTTTGTAGGACCATCATGATTTTTTTTAAGTTTCAAATAATAAATACCTAATAAAAAAACATGGCCCTTGATTGTTTACAGGGTGCTTTCCATTTTATTATCTAATGTAATTAAAATGGTGTAATACTCAGAATTACTCAGATGCATGGATAACAGCTTGAGAGAATATAGTGAGAACAGGCTCTGGAAATAATATTGTGTGTAAGAGAACAGACTCTGGAATTATATAATCCAGCTGTAATTTTACTACCTGTTGAGCTAGATCAAGTTATTTAAATCCTCATGACCTAGGTTTCCCCATCTGTAAAATGGAAATTATAAAAGTACCTCATAGGGTTGTTGTGAGAATTAAAAATACATAAACTGTGTTTAAAATAATACTTGGTTCTCGAAGGTTAGCTATTATTGTATGAACTTTTTAAGTACATGAAAACTACTGAACTCAGTCATCCCAAGCCTGTTGTTATGTGCCGTTGAATCAATTTCTACTCATAGTGACCCCATGTGACAGAACTGTTCTATAGGGTTTTATTGGCTGTAATCTTTATGGAAGCAAATCTCCAGGTCTTTCTCTTGTGGAGCCTCTGGGTAAGTTTGAACTGCCAACCTTTCAGTTGGCAGCCGAGCACTTAACTGTTTGCACCACCAGAGCTCCTTATTCCAAGCCTAGTAGTATTATGTTGATAGTTGTGTTTTAAGAAAAGTTTTCGTTGTTTCTGCAAAGGTAAAATGATGTTTAATATAAACTTCTGTTTACAGCAGGAGTACTTAGAGTCTGTGGAGCCCTTGATTTCAGGGAGTCTTTGAACCCCTTAAAATTACATGTAAAATTATTTGAGTTTGTACAGTTACTCAGAATTTAAAAAATTAAGGAGTTGAAATAGTAGTAAAGAGGCAGTAGAGTTTGGTTAAAGCCCATGGACTTTGTAGCTAGAAGGTACTTGTTCCAACCTGGGGCAAGTTTCTTGAATTTTCTATGCCCAGCTTCCTCCTCTGTAAAATAAGAATACTACTACTACCTAACTCTTGGGTACTATTGAGGGGATAAAATGAGTTAATATATGTACAACATTTGCAGTACCTTCCATTCGAAAAACCATTGCCATTGAGTCGATTCAGACTCATAGTGACCCGACAGAGCAGAGTAGAACTGTCCCATTGGATTTCCAAGGCTGTAATCTTTATGGAAGCAGACTGCCACATCTTTCTCCTTCCCAGCGACTGGTGGGTTCAAACTGCCTACTTTTTGGTTAGCAGCTGTCTGCTCAACCATTGCACCACCAGGGTTCCTTTGCAGTATCTAGTACATAATAAATATTAATGTGAACTATTATTAATTAGAGCCTGGATGGCGCAGTGGTTAAGAGCTTGGCTGCTAACAAAAAGATCAGCAGTTCAAATCCACCAGATGTTCCTTGGAATCCCTATGGGGTAGTTCTACTCTGTCCTATAGTGTTGCTATGAGTTGAAATCGACTCAGTGGTAATGGTTTTGGTTTTTTTTGGTTATTATTAATTACTTTTCAAAGAGGAATCAAATGACCTCCTTTTCTGTTTTAGGTTAAAGAAATTTTGACTTTAATAATAGTAGTAATAATAGCTCCTATTTGTTGAGCTCCTGCCATGTCAGATGGTGCCAAGTAATCTATGTACTTAGTCTCTAAACCGTATCACAATTCTTTAGCAGTAGGTATGTTATCTCCATTTTATAGCTGTGAGTTTCAGTGTAAACTTCAAAGTTGAATTGCAGTTTTGAGATACTACTGTTATGATTTCAGAAGATTATGCGTTAGATGACAGAAATCACAGCAGTATGTTCATGCTTAGTTACTTAACTTAATTACTACAATCAACAAATATAATTCTAAAAGCACTTGGAACAGGTTTAATTTCACAGCTGTAAAGTTCCTCCAAATTTTTCTTTTCCTAACAAAGTGAGAGGAAAATATTTGCAACTCATATCACAAAGGGCTAAGCTCCCTGTTAAATAAGGAGCTTCTGGAAATTGATATTTTAAATGAGACTAAAAACCCAGTGGAAAAATGGGCAAAGGATACAAACAGATAATTCACAGGAAAGAAAATATAAATTACTCTAAGTGTGTGAAATGATGCTCGGCCTCACTTATAATAAGATAAATGTAAATTGAATCTACACTGAGATAGCCTTTCTTTCCTACCGGATTGACAAATATCCAAAAGTTAGATAAGATTCTCTGTTAACGTTGTAGGGAAATAGGCATCATCTTACATTGCTTATGGACTGGCAAAATAGTACAACCCCTATGGAGAACAACTTAGCCATATCTACCCAAGTTATGAATGCAATTACTCTTTGATCTAGCATTTGTATTTGGCAGAAGTTTATACAATACAGGGTTCTTTGTTGTAGCATTGCTTGTAATAGCAAAAGGTTAGAATCTCTCTTAGTTATCTAGTGCTGCTATAACAGAAATACCACAAGTGAATGGCTTTCTCACAGATTAGGAGGCTGTAAGTGCAAATTCAGAGTGCCGGCTCTAGAGGAAGACTTTCTCTGTCAGCTCTGGAGGAAGGTCCTTGTCTCTTTATCTTCTGCTTTCTGTTTCCTTGGAGATCTTCATGTGTCTTGCAATCTATCTTACCCCATCTGTCTTACTCACTGGCTTGTTTAATCTCTTTTATATTTCAAAAGAGATCGACTCAAGATACACCCTACACTAATCTCACCTGATTAACATAACGAAGACAGCCCATTCCCAAATGGGATTATAACCATAGGCATAGAGATTAGGATTTACAGCACATATTTTAGGGGGACATAATTCAATCCATAACACCGTCCAAATGTCTGTATGTGAGTGATTGGTTAAATAAACAGCAGTGAAATCACAGTGATGGGAGCAAAGGTCTACAGTCTCTTACCCATAATTTCAAAGTTTTCAAAGCCTGAAAACCAAAAATCTTTGTTTGTTTTAAATTTGGCAGCCAAACTCATTTGATGGCAAAACCTGACTCCAGCTGACTGAGGTGCCCATTTTGTCTTGTTGCACCTTCCAGGCACTCTTGCCTTTGCTGTCTGCTAATACTTTTTGCCTTTTAGTTGTTTGGTTACTTTGGGTTTAATTGCATTTGAAAATGTCAAAAATAGGTAAAGATAGCCCTGTGGCAAAGAATGGAAACATTTGTTGTTAATAATAGAATGGAACATAGAGTTATTATAGGAGGTTGTGCGTGGTGTGTCTGTGAGACATCATACAGAAGAAGACAGTGTGGGAACTATGACCATATATGACATAAAGAATAGCTTATTGACATTTTACAGTGGCAATGATGAGAAGAACTAATGAAAAATCAGAAAACATTATTGAAAATAAAAATCTTAACCATGTTTTAATTAAGTGGATTTGACAATAAGGAGGTAAACACATACCATTGATTGGTTTGTTGATCATGAAACAAATTAGAATAGATCATGAAGAATTGCTACTGAAGATGAATATTAGTATTAAGCAGGGCTTTGAACTGGTTCTAAACGGTTCACTGTTGGCTGACAGAAACCATGGCAGTGTACATGTTGCATCACAACCAAAGCTCTTGGCCGTGGGGATTTGTCCCTAGTAGGAAACAGTGCTGCCCCACTCAAACATGGCAGCTGACCACGCCGCTTTGAATGTGTGTCTGTCTCTACATTCCTGTAGTCCAATTTCCCGCACTGGTTTTTTGGTTCATCTGCCACTACTGTTTCTCTCCCACCCTTGTCGCCACTTCTTGCCGTGTCGTGCCGTCTCTGATGTTACAGCTTTCTCTGTCTCCTGAGTCTAGGAGGTTCTCAGCTCAGGGATCCCAGGTCCAAAAGATGTGCTCTGCTCCTGGCTCTTCTTGGTGATAGTGAGGTTCCCTCCCCACCGCCCCAACCCTTCTGTAGGATTGACTCTCTCTTTAAGCCTAGCAGATGGCAAAACTGATCAATCTCCTTGTTATGGTTCCATGTACCTTATTTGCATAATCCCACCCAGTCATTCTGTGGGAGTCACAAGGCCATGAATGGCTAGAAAGACCATATTAACTAATTCACTGCATTGCACAAGGCTGTGGGAGAGCCACTAGATTTTAATACTAAGGAAAGGTTGACTATTGTGAAGGATGCCAGTGCTGCAGACTCATAAAAGATAAAGCCAGCGTCTAAAATGTTTCCATGGTGTTCACAGTATACATGGGCATCATCATGCAAAAATCTCCAGGCTGGTTCGGTAGCCATCTGTACTAGTGGTACAAACTTGTCACAGTCAGGCTGAGCTGAAGAAAATTGGAATTTTTTATTATTCCTAGACAACTCTTCTCTGCATTCTCCTCAACTTCTGGTGAAGAGTTGTTTTCAGTATTTACTTCCCCCCTCCCTTCATTGTGACTGTCATAGCCTTTTGACCAACCCAGCAAGTGTTATGCTGGAAAAGCAAGTGTTTCTACTGCCTGCAGCAATTAACAGAGGCCTAAGACTGTCAGAGTTCAGCCGTAAAGATCCTGTTTTCAAAATTACTAATGCTTGAAATGAAGTTGATAAATTAGCATTAATAAATGCTTAACAAAATTTTAACTGAGGTTTGAAAATGAGCCTGCAGATACAGACTTTGAAGGATTTCATGTCACCATTGAGAAGATGATACTTAACCTCATTAATTACAACATTCATTTAACAGCAAACCCTTAATAAGTTAGGGAAACTGACGTTGAAGAAGTGCTGAACCCAGATCATGATGCTTTGTTATGTGTTTCTTGGGTGAGGGGGAAGTTGTAGAAAGGTTGATAAATACGCATAAGCGTTAGACTAGGAATGACAATATTAATGATGACCACATCGTGAACATAGGTGGACAGATCTCTGAAGACAATATCTTAAGCAAGAGATTTCGGTAATCAGTTGTGTAGCAGTTGTTAGGAGCTATCGAATTGGTTCAGACTCAGCGACTCTGTATACAACAGAACGAAACACTGCCCAGTCTTGTGCCA